TCGGAGGACGGCCGGCGCGGCAACGTAATCCAGGAGATCGAAGCAGTCGGGCCCCTACTAGCCCTTGAAACATGGCCTACATTGTTGACGGAGTGCGTGTGGATCCATTTCATCGATAATGAGAGTGCCAAGTTTTCTCTGATCAAAGGGTCCGCCAAAGCCATCGACACCAACGAGGTCGTGTACGCTACTTGGGAGGCATGCCGGGCCCGGCGTCTATAACCTTGGTGGGAACGCGTATCATCGCCGGACAATCCAGTAGACAAGGCTTCCAGAGGTGACCTCAGCGACCGTTACGGCCAGAACTGGGAGATTGTCGAGCCCGTCCTGCCCGCGATGTGGCGCAGGGAGCCGGCTCGGGCGGCGGCGTGGGGGTGAGGCCTGGACACGGCCGCGTGCCCCCCAGCCACCAACACAAACAGCAGAGCATTTTGCCAATGAGAGTCCCAGAAAAGTGGGGAGGTAGGAAGGAAGGAAGGGGAGGGGGATGAGGTACGGGAAGGACGGGAGGATGTATGGTGAGAATGATGATGATGATGATGATGATGATGATGATGATGATGATGATGATGGTGTTGATGGTGTCCCGATGATGCTGATGATGGTGATGCGGATCGATTGTGAGATCGATAGTGAGGTCGAATGTGAGATCGATAGTGAGATCGATAGTGATATCGGTTGTGAGATCGAACGTGAAACATAATGCCATATCGATTGTGATATCGGTTGTGATATCGATAGTGAGATCGATAGTGGTATCGGTAGTGAGATCGATTGTGAGACAGAATGGGAGATCGTTTGTGATATCGATGGTGATATCGATAGTGAGACAAATAGTGAGACCGAATGTGAGATCGATTGTGGGATCTATTGTGAGATCGATTGTGAGATCGATAGTCAGATCGATTGTGAGATCGATCGATTGAGATCGATAATGAGATATGTAGTGAGTTCGATAGTGAGATCGATGATGAGACCGAATGTGAAATCGATTGTGAGATCGATTGTGATATCGATAGTGAGATCGATAGTGAGACCGAATGTGAGATCGATAATGATATCGAAAGTGCGTTCGATAGTGAGATCGATAGTGATACCGAATGCGAGATCGATTGTGAGATCGATTGTGATATCGATAGTGAGATCGATAGTGAGACCGAACGTGAGATCGATAATGAGATCGATAGTGAGTTCGATAGTGAGATCGATAGTCAGATCGAATGCGAGATCGATTGTGATATCGATTGTGAGATCAATAGCGAGACCGAACGTGAGATCGATTGTGGGATCGATTGTGAGATTGATTGTGAGATCGATCGTCAGATCGATTGTGAGATCTATCGATTGAGATCGATTGTGAGATCGGTAGTGAGTTCGATAGTGAGATCAATCGAGTGCGACGTTGGTCCCTCCCCCCCCCTCACCTCCTTATCACCCGAAGGGTGGTCTATGCGGTATTTATTTGGGTGTCTTGGGGCTCCTTCAGATTCTTTCATGGCCCCTCATGTCCGAGGGGCATGAGGGGAACTCGGTTCGGTTACGCAGAGTGTCTCATTCCTCCGTGTTCCGTCCATCCTGCTTCGCATTGCCCTTGCATTCCGCCCGTCTCCCACCAGTCTCGTTTCCGTCCCTCCGCCAAAGTCCCACGTTTCTTCCTCCCTTGTCGTCCCCATATTTTTCTCTGCCGCACCAGCAGACGTGTCCGTATACTGGAGCGGGGCGTTTCGGTTGACATTTCCGCAGAATGTATTGTTTATGCTCCGCGAATCCCCACCGGCCCATTCAAAAGCCCTGCCCACGAGAGCTGACGGGAAATGGAAAGCAAAATCGCATATAGTGAAATAGAGCGGTCAAAGAGAGGAGAGAGGGGGAGGAACGTGTGGAGACATGTGGCGCCTGTTGGAGCATCGGAGGCCTTCTTGGAGCTATGGGGCTTTTGGGGGGCGTCTTGGGGTCCTCTCGGGCCTCTTTGGGGGCATCGTGGAGCCCTCTTGGGGCTCTCATCGGAGCTTCGGAGGGCCTGCTGGGGCCATCTTGGAGGCCATAGATCAACAGGGGGGTCCTTTATCTATGCCCCCCCAGAAAAGCCCTCGAAATCGCCTCTGGGGGCCCTCTCGGGGCGCTCTTGGGGCGATCTTGGGCGCTCTTGGGGCCGTCTTGGGGGCCTCTTGTGCCCCTCTTGGAGCTCTCTTGGGCCATCTTGGAGCCATCTTGAGGCCTCAAAGCGCATCGGTAGCGAAGAGGCGAGAAGGCCAACGCCATTGATATCCTTTAGAAGGATTTTGGCTTCTCGGGGAGGTCCTGAGGGGTCTCACACAGCACTTGGATCCCTCTTATGGCCCTCTTGGGGCCTCTTGGAGGCATGCTGTTAGCTATCTTGAGCCATGCTGGGCTATCTTGAGCGATCTCAGAGGCAATCCTGGGCAATCTGGAGCCCTCCTGGATCTATCTTGGGCCAAAAAAGACCCTCTGACACCTCGCGCCCCCCTCCGTCAGCGTCCAGGTTCAGGGGAGGAGGTATGGGGAGGGGTAAACCCGTCCCCGAAGGGGAAGAGGGGCTCTTGGAAGAGGGAAGAGAGACATCGTTAGACCGCCTGCGCCCAGAGGGCTGGTGGGATTACATTGTTATGATGCGCTCCACCATTTGCAGATGGATGGGCGACTTGCAGTTCTTGTTCAATGCGGATCTCGCATCAGCGCCGCGCACATGTTTCCTGTCCTCACCGTAGCGCCGCGTGCATGCAACTCATCAGCTCCCAGCGCTTCAACACAAAATGCGGCCCTTGCCGTGGCTGGTTACAATTGTTTTCTTGATTTCCAACAGTTGCGAGTGTGACAACGACGGTTTCCGTTCGCCTGTCGGTGGGTGTGGCTTCAACCCGTTGTCCTACCTTCAACGGCCGATTCGTAGCCTTAGGTCGGGCCTGTCCCCCTACAGGAGGACTTTCGACGAAAAATAGAACATGCCCCAAACAGATTCAAAACATCATCCAACAATAGTCTGGTGACTAGGGTGGTCGGTTCGACGAAAAGAGAGAATGTGCTAACCTGGGATCGGTGTTTTTCATTTTATGTAAAATTTTGAAGTTCGTTTTTAGAAATAAGATTTGTATTTCCTGTAGTAAGCTATGGCGCACCTGATGTTAAATTTTTCATGACTCTAGGTCTCGTTTTACGTACGAGTCGTTCGGTTGCATCTTCGGGGGACCTCGCCTGCCCCCCAAGTTGGTGCCTTCTCTTGTGTTCGACGCGGGCTCGATGCGCCTCGACGCGGATTCGGCGTGCACGCGACGCGGATTCGACACGGATTCGGCACGGAGCCGACGAGGCCGACACGGATTCGACACGGACTCGACGCGGATAGGGCCGCGACGGGTCAGACAAGTTTCCCCGAGGATGCAACAGAATTCCCCCGCCCCTCACGTGGGTGGTGACTCCAGCGGTGCAGCGTGCTTCTTGCCTTGGTTTCGCCCGTCGGTGGGCGTGGCTTCCACCTGCCCAGGCACGAGGTTCAGAGGAGGAAAACGTGCCCATACCCCTACCCTTCCCTCGGTTCCCCTTTTCGGGGCCTCCCGGGAGGCCCATCGTCGCCACCGTTGGATTCGCTCCGAAGTCCTGGTCAGAACCCACCCCGGGAGAGGTCCGGGGAGTGCAGCGGCATCCGTGCTTTGGACTTCCCCCAGAAGTGGCTGGTCGGCATCAGGCCCAGCCACCTCCGGAAGTGCTATTGGTGAAGGCCCGTCGGAACGGGCGGGCCGCGGGCCCCACCTGGGTGGCCAGCTTCCTGTTGCCTGTCGGCAGGTATGGCTTCCACCCGTGTCGCCTGTCGGTGGGTGTGGCCTCCACCTGGCCCCCTTTCGCCTGTCGGTGAGCGTGGCTTCCACCTGGTCTCTCCGTGCGTCGGTGGGCGTGAACTCCACCAGGTCTTCCTTTCGCCTGTCGGTGGGTGTTGCTTCCATTTGCTACTTGTTCCCCCCAAAACGGAGTGGGAGTGGTTGCTCACACCAAGGTCCAACCACCTCAGTGAAATTGCTATTGCTGGCCACCCGTCTGGATGAGCGAGCCTTAAGTCGGGCCTGTCCCCCTACAGGGAGGTTTGCGACGAAAAATAAAAATACCCCAACAATACTCCAAGAAGGTCAAACAATAGTCAAAACATAGTCACCAGACTATTTTTGGCCTATTGTTTGACAAATGTTGGGTATTTTTTTATTTTTCGTCGAAAATCCCCCTGTAGGGGGACAGGCCCGACTTTAGGCGAGCCGCAGGCCCCCCGTGGGTGGTGACCCCGGCCTGTGGATGTGGCTTCCACCCGGTCTGTCGCATGTCGGCGGGCGTGGCGTCCAGCCGGTCTCCCCTCGCCTGTCGGTGGGTGCTGCTTCCACCTCCTGCTCGCGTCGAGAGAAACGACTGCTTTCGACTTGCGGTGGGTGTGGTTTCCTGCCAGCTTCCTCTCGCCTGTCGGCGGGTGTGGCTCACGCCCGGAGGGGCGGGATCCTTCCCGCCTTGCTTTGGCTGGTCGGTGGGTGTGGCTCTCACCTGGCCTGCGCCTGTCGGTCGGCGGGTGTGGCCTCCACCTGCTCGCAACTGTCTGGGCACGCACATGGTAACACTCCACCCGCGTCCTGGTCAACACCATTGACACTCCTACTCCTTGTTCACTCTCGTGAAGGCGGTGATCCTGGTAACTCCTCCTCCTCCTCCTCCTCCTCCTCCTCCTCCTCCTCCTCCTCCTCCTCATCCTCCTCCTCCTCCTCCTCCTCCCCTCGGCAGCGTTGCTTGCGACGTGGGGCCCGTCCGTGGGCGGCGTGACCAAGTGAGACCCGTGCGGAGTCCCAAAGGTCCAGTCCCAGTCCCAGTTCCAGTCCCAGTTCCAGCCCAGCCCAGCCCAGACCAGTCCTCCTCCTCCTCCTGTCCCCTCCTGTCCTCTCCTCTCCTGTCCTGCCCTGTCCTCTCCGCCCTCCCATCCCCCCTTCCCCCCTCGTGGCGGCCGGCCCCGAGAGGGGTGCCACGCCGCGCTCCTCCCCCGCGGCGCCCCTCCCCCCCGCGGGCGCGGCCCCGGCGCGGCGCCACCGGGCCCGCGGCCCGATGCAGGCGGACGAGGCCCGGGAGGGCTGGCGCGGTCGGGCGTCTCGGGGCTCGGGGGCGGAAAAGAGGGGGGTGATGACTAGGGGGGGGTGGATATCATGGCGGGGGCCATGATATTTCCCCAGATTTCATTACGTCCCTGGCCATCCTGCTGGGCCGCGCACATGCCGCCGGTCATGATTTGCACCCCCCCCTTGGACACCCCCCTCTTGGCCGCTCCCGAGGGGCGCCAGGGGCTCACCAGCCACGAAACCACTCAAGCAGTGGCGAGGCGTCCTGGCGTGCCCTGTAGCCCTACCAAAACAGCGTTCTAAGAGCCTTTCTGTGGTTTCCACGAGATGTTCTTGGAACATTTCTGGTTGGGACTGTCTTGTTTTATCACATCGGATTATGCTTTAAGAGCATGTTTTTTCTGACATTTTTTGGTTCTAAGAACATTTCGTGGTAGGACTATAGGAATGCCGGGACGGTCGGTCCCTGCTCAAACCACCCCAACCCAACCCGATCGGAGGGAGGAGAAGCGACACCAACACTACCAGGGGGCCCACCTCCAGCGAGGAGGTCCACGACGCCTCCCCGAACTGGAGGCCGGGGATGTCTCGAGCGAGAGGAGAGGGGCCACACCACCAGGGAGACCCCCCCTGCCTCCTCGCATCTCCTCGGACCGGTGGTGTTGTGTCGCAGTTTCTTGCCCCTACAAGAAGGCGCAAGTTCTCCCTCGATTGCGAAGGCCTCACGGCCGGTGCCGCCGACCCCCGAAGACGACGAGGATGAAAACGTGCGCGGGGGTGCAGGAGGCGGAGGGGGAGGACGAGAAGCGGGGGGGGAAGAGGCGGAGCAGCAGGAGGAGGAGATGCAGGAGGAGAAGCAGGAGGAGAAGCAGCAGGGGAAGCAGGAGGAGAAGCAGGAGGAGGAGGAGGAGGAGGAGGAGAAGCAGGAGGAGAAGCAGGAGAAGGAGAAGCAGGTGGAGGAGGCGGATGAGGGAGGGACCCAGCCCGGGTCGGTTCCGGGGGCGCCAGAGGCACACCAGCCACCAAACCACCCAAACCCAACCCGAAGGCCCAAATTCACCCTCGATTTCCTGTGTGTGGGGGCCGGGGAACATCGAAGAAGCTCATGTGGAACCCGTTGCTCCCCACACCCGAAAGTTGGGTCTTCGGGTCAGGTTGGGGTGGTCTGCAGGGTGGTCGAGGCGGGGGCCATCGAGGAGCCTCCTTTACGATGTTATCACATTGCGGCGATGCCGATCTTCCTGATGTTCTCCGTTTCTGAAGGCACATCCCTGAGATCGTCATGGCTTTTTGCTTGCCGATCTCGGGGATAGGGATACGTTCGAGTCTTGTTAGCCTGGAGGAGGGGGAGGAGGAGAGAAGGAGGAGGAGGAGGAGGAGGAGGAGGAGGAGGAGGAGGAGGAGCAGGAGGAGGAGGAGGAGGAGGAGGAAGGAAGAGGAGGAGGAAGGAAAAGGAGGAGGAGGAGGAGGAGGAAGAGGATTCCAGACCCCAGCGAACCCTGGACTTTCTCTGACCCCGGAGGCTGCCAGGGCCGCCCCCCTGGCGGCCCTCCTCGTGCGCACGCAGGCGCTCCTGGGGCCGGACGGGGGCCTTCGCTCCCTGCGCACTCGCTCCTCACGCCAGCGTTAGGTGCCTGTCCCCCTACAGGGGAATTTTCGACGACAAATCACAAGTACCCCAAAAGTGATCAAAAAATAGTCCAGAAATAGTCTGGGGACTACTTTTGGAGTATTGTTTGATTTTTTGGGGGGGCGTGTTTTGGGTATGTTTAATTTGTCATTGAAAATCCCCCTCTGGGGGGACAGGCCCGACATAACCTTCGCTCCCTGCGCAATCGCTCCTCACGTCGGCGGACCGCCCGCATGCTCTTTTTTTTGCAGGGGGCGCTGGGCCCCCGGAAGCGGGCCGGGCAGCCGCCCCCGCTCAGAGGGGGCCCTCGGCGGCGCGGCCAGGAGGTGCGAGGCCGGCGAGGAGGCTCCGCAAGAGGAGGGCGAGCTCGGACCACGGCGGTGGGCCTTCGGGGGGAGGGCCTCGTCGGCGGGGCCGGGCGCGGGTCGAGAAGCTTCAGGAGGGGAAAAGACACAGACACAATGAATCTTCGGTTCCCAGAAGATCTGGGGAAAAATGTGAAGCGGGGGGGAAAACAGAAACCCAGAACATATGGGAAACTATGGCCTGGGAGGGGCCTTCGGGGCCGAGGCGGAGCTGCCGCCAGCTCTCCTCGCCCGGCTCCGAAGGCCCCGGCTTTTTTTGTTTTTTTTGTTTTTTTGTTTGGCTCGGGGGTGGGCAGAGCCCCCACCCCGACACGTCGATTGGTGAGTTGTCCGTGTTCGGTTCTCGAGAGGGCGCCGCGGCTGTCATTTTCCAGGCGTGGGCCTGCCAGATTTGGGCCCGAGGTCGTCTGCACTCAACCGCGTTTTACTGAAGGGAGGTCTGTCCATCCCCGATTGGCGGATCCCATCATTTTGGGCCTCCCGGGCTCCTCTCGGGGCTGCGCGGCAGGTGCTGCAGGCCCCTGTGCCTCCTGGGGACCCCCTGGGGACACCTTGGGCCAGGGGCACCTTGAAGCAAAACACCTGGCAGCACCTTCAGAGGCGACAAGTGGGCCACCGCGACATAGAACCCATCAGGTCCGGGGGGTAGGGTTATATCGGGGCTGTCCCCCTACAGTGGGATTTTCCACGAAAAACTAAAACAAATTCCAAACATGCCCCCAAAAGATAAAACAAATACTCGAAAAATAGTCCCCAGACTAGTTCGGATTATGGTTTGATTATTTGTTGGGTATTTTTATTTTTTGCGTCCAAAATCCCCCTGTAGGGGGACGGGCCCAACGTAAGGGTAGGGGGGGGGGGTGGGCGACCACCCCTCCCCCCCTCCCCGCCCCAGACACCCGACGATGCTCGGCGGCGTGCCCCAGGGGAGAGCGAGGGGGAGAAGGCCTCCTCGGAACGCGGCGGGGCGTCTCTCAGGAGGGAAAAAAACACAGACACAATGAATCGTCGACTCCCGAGGAAATAACGGAAAATATGGGAAGTGGGGGGAAGACGAAAACCCAGAAAATATGGGAACATATGGGGAATGCCTCTTTCTTCTCAGGAGCCCCGCGGCCTTCTGAGAAGTCGCGCCCCTTCTGCCCCCTTCGGCTCGCCGCTGGCCTCGGGCTCCGTTTTTGGATGGGCCTCCGGGGGCCGAGGCCCGGCTCTCAGGAGACCCGCCCTGACTTGAGCACTCTCTGCCGTCGGAGATTCGGGTGCTCTGCGCCAGGGACGCCAGTGGGATCACCCGACCGGCCCATGTCAGCCACGCGCAGAAAGGGGCGGGGGGAGGGTGGAGGGTTTTTTGGAAGCACCCCTGCTTCTTAGAAGGCGCGGTCCTTACCTGCAGATGTAAGAATGGCGCCTTCTAAGAAGCAGCCACCTTCTAAGAAGCCCCCCCCCCCCCTCCCTCCACCCCCTTGTGCGCGCCGCCAACCATGTCCGCCTGGAGGAAGTTCTTCTTTACAGTCGGACCGAGGTGTAAGATCGCGTCGAGGTCGGTTTGGGGAGGGTGCCCTGGGACGTTGTGTTTTGTTTGGCCCGCGGAGGGTCACATGTTTTTCAGGGACGTTCTTCTGGCTGTATCCCAGAGGAGGGAGGAGGGATGAAGGCGGAGAGAGGGAGGGAGGGAGGGAGGGAGGAGGAGGAGGAGGAGGAGGAGGAGGAGGGAGGAGGAGGGCGGCGCCCAAACGGACAGTTGGACTCCGCGCACGTCGGGATATGGCCTTGCGCGCCGCAGGGGGCGGAGGAGGAGGAGGGGGGGCGGGCGTGCCGTGCATCGAAGAGCAGGAACGGCATACATTCAGTATTGTTTAACCGATCCCTATCCATTCCGATCCACATCTCGAGCCCCACCGTCTCAGCACCTCAGTTGGGGACATACCTTTCGAAGTCCGAAGAGAGCAGCCTATATCCCCATCAGGGGGTTGAATCGGCTAGTGGGGCCCAGCCCTCGCTGGTGGGGATGAGGATCGGTTAAACGATGCTCATAAGCAGAATGTCTCAGAGGTCCGCGCGGATTTCTTGGATCGGCGTTGGGCCCCCTTGCCTTCTGATTTTCCGACCTACTCTAGCCTCGACCTCACCAGAAATAACATCATGCAACAAGAACAAGTACCGACACGTGAGGGTTCTCACGTGTCGGGCCCTGGGAGGCGATGCTCGCTCGACCATGTTCGATACTCTTCTGGGTGCTCGAAATTTTGGTCTGGGATGTGGTCCTTACGCGCGATGGGAGCAATATGACCCTTGCCGTCCTCGGCGCGCTCCGCGCGGACCTCCGATGATCAGGAGGAAAAAACACACACAGACACAATTAATCGTCGATCCACCAGAAAATATCGGAAAATATGGGAAGTGGGGGGGATGACAGAAACCCAGAAAATATACGAAAATATGGGGAATCCTGTTATATCTGTGTGTATTCATTTCTGTGTCCCAGGGCCCCTCCAGATGATTCCTGCCGATGCCTTGCGCCGTTGCTCCCCGGGCGGCGGCGAGGCCAGGGGGGGGGGGGGGGGGGGGCATTCCGAGGGGCGGGCCTCCTCAGCGGGCTCCGAGGGCCTCCGGCCCTCCGGCGGTGCTCTAAGGTCTGCACGAACGAAATGGTCTGCCCTCCTCCTCCTCCTCCTCCTTCTCCTTCTCCTTCTCCTTCTCCTCCTCCTCCTCCTCCTCCTCCTCCGCCCTCCTCCTCCTCCGCCCTCCTCCTCCACCTCCTCCTCCTCCTCCTCCTCCTCCTCCTCTTCCTCCGTGGCGATGAACGGTACGGAAAGAATGGGTACGATGCCCAACAGCAGTTCCTGTTCATTCTGAGCAGGACTCGTTGTCCACGCCGCCGCGGCCTGTGTCCACTCGAGACAGAAGGCCGCCCGCCCAAGAGCGGCCGCTGTTGGTTTGGGACAACGTTTGTTGTTGGGCATTGTGCCCATTCTTTCCGTACCATTTCGGGCGTCCAAAGAAGGGTCTCCCCCACGTGGCGCGCACAGCGGCCCAGGCCCAGGAGGCCTGATATATTTTACGGGCACGCTTGCAGCACAGTGAGTCTTGCTGCGGCAGTTCTCTGCGAGAAGGCGCTCGAGAGCAGGCAGGGCGGGTGGCGGGGCTGGACCCAGACAGTGCTCTGCGGGACTTCGGCCGTGTTATGTTTTTTCATTGTTTTTTGGGTGGGTGGGTCCAGCCCTGGTGGACGGAGCCGAGGCTCCGCCGCGGGCCCCGCCTCTCGGGATGGCCTTTGGGTCGACGCGCCCGTCGGTTCGTCGTCGTCGGTTCCCCAATCACGCAGACCTGGCATCGCTCGGACGTGTGCATTATTTCTTCGGCGAGGACCATCGAGGAGCATCCTTGATCATTCGGCGAAGAAGCCACGCACGAAACCGAAAAAAAAACACTGGGAATGGTTGTCCGAGCGATGGCCAGCAGAAGACCTTTCGGCATGCGCGAGGGGTTTCGAGAAGCCAGGCCGCCTTTCGTTCGAAGGCCTACCCCCACCCCCCCCGACGCCATCATTTTTCCGTGGCGCCGACCCCCAGAGGGCTCGACCCGCTCCCAGGGACCGGTTCTTCATCCCGAGTCGTTCTTGTTGACGGTCCCGAGGCCCGGTATGGGTCCCCAGAGGCCAAACATTCTCTTGCGACGTGCCTCACCCATCGGCACCAAGGAATGATATGAGGGGGGTCGACAATGGTTTGACAGCAACGCTGCAAGAGACGGTGCACGGCATAGATCTCTGTCGTGCGAAGTCTGCGTGGCCGACTCGCAGTGCAGAGGTGCAAAAGGCCAGGAGGCACGGTGCTGGGAAGGAGAAGCAAAACGAGAGCCCAGCCAGGGGGGGGTAATCAAACATAGAGGAAACTTGTCCGTAGTGTTTTCTTGTTTTTCGTGACTCGAGAGTGGTCTGTGGGAATCTCGCCCGAAGCCCAACGAAGAAAAACAGGCCTCCCGACGGCGGCCGCGCGCGGCCCTCTGGGACGCGAGCTGCGGGCGCCGCTAGTCGTCCACGTTCTCGTCCTCGTCGTCGTCCTCGTCTTCGTCCTCACCGCCATCTCCGGAGATGTCCAATCCAGAATAGAGACAATTTGTCCATCGTGTTTTGTTTCTTTTCGTGACTCGAGGGTTGTTTTTGGGGGTCTCGCTCGAAACATTAGCCTCCCGATGCCGCTCCCCCCGACCTCTCCCGGGGTGCGTTCTGCCTGGAACTTCGAGGCCAATCCAGCGGTGGCGACGAGGGCCTCCCATGAAGCCCAGCAGAAGCGAACACGGGGGAAAGCTGCCCGTCGTGTTTCGTTGAAGGACTCGAGAGGGGGGGCGTCCTTGGGGAGTCTCGCCAGAAACCCAACGAAACAAACAAAGCAAAACCTCCCGACACGGCGGCCGCGCGCGGCCCTCCGGGGCGCGAGCTGCGGGCGCCACTGCGGGCGCGGCTGCGGGCCGCGCCGCCGTGGCGAGGCGGGGCGCGCCCCCCCCCGCGGCGGGCCCCCGGCGGGGCCCGACGTGCACGCCGTGCCGCGTGGGTCGGGCAAGGGGCGGAGGCGGAGGAAGAGGGGGGAGGGAGGAGGGAGGAGGAGGGAGGAGGGTGAGGGGAGGAGGGGGGAGGGGGGTGGGAGGAGGAGGGAGGAGGAGGAGGGATGAGGAGGAGGAGGGAGGAGGGAGGAGGGAGGAGGAGGGAGGAGGAGGAGGGAGGGATAGGAGAAGGACCCCCTATGCAGCCTCCGAGGGGCCGCGCCGACTGGTGGCGGTGGACACGAGGCGCTGCTGGCGCTGGGCGCGACCGAGCCACACAAGGACGCGATGTGTACACCACGTCGTCGATTAGCATCGGTGAGCATCGGCGTGCACGTCGGTGTACACCGACGTGTGCACCACGTCGTGTGCTCGGCCAGGGATCAGAGGAGGAGGGAAGAGGAGGAGGCGGAGGAAAAAGAGGAGGAGGGGGAGGAAGAGGAGGTCGATGAGTACACCACGTCCTCGACTAGCGTCGATTAGCGTCGGCGTAAACGCCGGTGCACACCGACGCGTTCACCAAGTCGTGTGGTCGGCCAGGGATCGGAGGAGCAAACAGCGCCGATGCTGCTACCCTCGCAAAGTTTCGCCCAGCGTCGAAGCGCCGAATCAGACAGCGTTCTCATGTGACCCGGAAGGCGTCGATGCCAGGTCGCCGCAGCGGGGGACCAGGGATCGCGCGGACGTCCCACATATGTGTTGGCCGTCCGCCGGAGGAGGTGGATGAACGATGACTGGCAGGGAGGGTCGGGCCAGGAAAAAAGTATCGACGCCACGTCGTCGGGGCTGCGCTGGCTGCGCTGGCTGCGCGCGCTTGCCCGGGCCCTCCTCCCGCCCCCCTTCCCCGCCCCCCCCCCCGTCCGTCCCCCCCCCCCTTCCCGCCCCCCCCCCCCCCCCCCCCCTCCCCTCCCCTCCCCTCCCCTCCCCCCCTCCCTTCCCCCCCTGCCTCGCCCTTCCCTGACCCTCTCCCCGCCCCGCGCGCCCATGTCGTTCGTTTGTCGTCCGTCGTTTCCGTCGTCGTGTCGCGCCGTCTCCCTGCAACTGGGCGTCGTGTGGTCGGCTATGGATCGGAGGAGGAAAAGGTATCGATGCCGCTACGGTGGAGGCGTCGATTCAGGAAAAGTCCAAGGTAGTCCAAGGAGGCGCCAGACCCTGGAGGATTCCTTGATGAGGGCGGCGGTGATATCCATCCATGGCCGATCCACAATTCGAGTTTCGCTGGCTTCCAGACCCCAGATTCCTCATCTAAGGGGCCTTCGTCGCCGCCGCCGGATTCGCTTCGAAATTCGGGTCAGGACGAACTCCAGTAGAGGTCCGGGGAGTACTTCGCGGTATCGGTGCCTGTTGGTTCCCGCAAGGGATCCAATGAATTCGGCGAACACTGGGGGGAACGAAAAAGAGAGGGCCCACCCAGAAGGCAGCGGGCCTTCTCAGACGCCTTCTGGCCTTCCGGGAGGTTTTGTGTGCCCCCGGGGAAGGCTCGAGCAACATTTCTCGGACGGGCGCAGGATTTCGGAGCCATTTGAGAATGCCCGCCTATTTTTAATATGAAAAAAAACAGTAATTTATACATACGAAGACCATCTGAGAAGGCCCGCCGCTTCTCACTTCACACCCCGCGCTCGCGCCGCCAAAAGGAGTTCGGTTGCTGTTTGGGGGAGGGGGCCTCGTCGCCTCGGTTGGGTTCTTGTTTTTCGTAGCGGTACGACAAGCGAACCGGGCAACGAACAATGACAAGCAATAGGCAATACAGTCAACAACCGAATATGGAGGCGCGACTTTGCTCAGGGTACCCTTTGCGTCCTTACTCATCCTTGCTTTCGCGTCTCCGTCATTCCTTGGTTTCGTCTTGGGGTTTTCGTCGTCCGCCGCCCCAAAAATCCCAACTCCGGTTTCCAAGGATTTTGCGTCCTAACCGCGCGTCCTTATTAGGTTTTTTTTTAACTGTAACGGGCAATAACGTAACAGGCGGGACAACAGTGGCACAAATGGGTTCCTTGTAGTTGGGGGTGTCCGACAGCGAACAACCGCATAAACGTAACCTTTTTTGTCCTGATGTCCTCGCGGAGTTTTCGCATCCGCGCCAGAGCCCCCCCCCCCTCCCGGGCGCCTCCCGCGCCGCCCCTGACGCGCGGAGCGCGCCAGGGAGGGGGGGTCGGTCGATCCGAGAAATCCGCGTGGAACCCCGAGAGTTCACGTTCATGTCCGTGTCGTTTCCCCGCTCTGACCCTCGAGCTTTGCGGGGGCAGCGTCGGGTATCCTTGGAAGGGGCCACCAACCCCACACTCGGGAGGGAGAAAAACAGTACCCGCGGCACGCCGTCTTTGGGACACCGTCGGTGCGCTGTTCCCTCGGTTTTGTTCGGAGGCCTGCGGTCTCTTCATCCGTGCCGCGCCGATCGGCTCCCCGTGGCGGCGTGTCGTGGCTATTCTGCTGCTCCCGCTCACCACCAATTGCGGGCAACACTTCTGTCCATCTCCACTGCAGTACGGAGTTGCGGGCTCCCGTCCCAAGAAACCCGAGGCGCACTGGAGATGCATAGATTTGCCCCCAGAGAGGCTCGATGTTTATCCATATCCAGTGCGCCTCGGCCTCGTGGCGCCGCTCTCGGCCCCGGATGTGGACCCACGACTCCTGCCCGCACCATTCGCCCGCCCCCTGCCGCTCTCGGCCCCTCGGTGTTGGCCGCCCCGTCCGGGAGCCGGCGGCGTCGCCGTCGGGGCCGTGCCGCCGATCCCTGGGCGACGCGTCGCCGACTCCAAGGCAACGTGTCCCTCCCCGGGCAGGCCGTCATCCCCTGCCGCTGCCCCCTATACTGCATATCCGCATCCGCCTCCTCAGTGGGCTTCTTCAGTGCACGGTCTGGGGCAAACTCGCCTTCCTCCCTCCCCTCCCCCTTCTCAGTTTTGCAGCGGCCCATTGCACACTTCGCAGTTCATGTTTTCCGTTCGGTTGCCAACGTCACACCCTGCGTTTGCCAACGCGTCCCACCAGATGCACGGCCGAGCGAGCGAGCGAGCTTCTTGCGCCTCGGACTCTCTCACATCGGAGAGACCAGCATGGACATGTACGCTCGGATGCCTGCTCGGACGCATGAACAGAGACCGACCTGAACATGCACGAGAGCTGCAGATGCTCGTTCGGAGGTCCGCGGGGCTTTCTCGGATCGGCGCTGGACCACCCGTGGCGGCGCTTCCCCCGCGCGAGGGGGCGAACTTTCGCCTCCGTGCGGCGCGCGGACGGGTTTCGCCACTTCCCTCGCACATTTGGCCCTTTGGCCACGCACGACGGGGCTGAATGGTGATCTCGCCTGGAGCGCTGCGCATGGATTTTCGGAAAGCTCCCTTGCCGCCTGTCGGCGGCGAGCGAAGGGGGGGGAGTTGAGAGGAGAAGGCCGTCTCAGAGGGCGGCAGGACTTCTCAGGAGCCCTCGCGCCGTCGGAGAAGTCTCTCAATGCCTTCGGGGAAGAAGGCTTGGCACGCTTGTCAGAGGGCCGGGGGGCTCCCGGGCCTTCTGAGAGGGCCCGGCCCTTCTCAGTTCCCCCCCGCGCTCGCCACCAAAATGAACCCAGTGGCCGTTTTTTTGTTACCCCCCCTAGCGTCAACGTGCGGCTTCGCGTTTGTCGCAGTCTCTGCCCCCTGCACTGGGGACTTGCGGCGGCCTTGCGGTGCCTCGTGTCTTTTCCCCTCGCCGAGTCGTCGGAAGCGGGGCCGCGACAGAGCGCATTCCGTTGGCTGGCTGGGCACGCGCGCCGGTCCCGAGTAGACGCAGTTGCGCCAGCACTGGCGCTCTGGTCGCTTCGGAGGGCGGGAGGAGGCAGAGGGCGTTGCCCGCTGGCTCGTTCCAGCTGGCTCGCTTGGCCTCTAATCGATCTCCTCCTCCGCATCCTCCTCCTCCAAATCTCCTCCTCCTTTTTCCTCCTCCAAATTTCCTCCTCCGCCTCCTCCTCCAAATCTCCTCCTCCTCCTCCTCCTCTCCATCCCGTCCTCCCCTTCTGTCCGAGGCGGCAGCAGGGGATGCAGAAGCTGGGGGGGGCGCGCAAAGGGATATCACGCGCCTTCTTCGCGTGGCGAGGCAGCGTGGCCCGAGGATGCATATGACCCAACAAGACATATTGGGGTCCCGGGAGGGGGGGGCCACAAACGTGTCCACACCCTCGGGGGCGGCAAAGAGGGGGGTGATGACTAGGGGGGGGATATCATGGCGTGGGCCATGATATTTCCTCAGATCTCATGGGGCCACTTCTTGTTTCAATGCGTTCCCTGGCCCGCCCTTGGGCCGCGCACGTGCCGCCAGCCATGATTTGCACCCCCCCCTCTTGGACATCCCCCTCTTGGCCGCCCCCGATACCCGCCGTCTGCCGAGGTTCTCCCGAGGATCGCTTCCCCACGCGGTAGATCATGGATAATTCCCCACGGTTTTTTTCCTGGCGCCCGTCGCGCGGAGCGCAGTGTAATTAGTGGACACCCATGCCAAGAACCACCCTGCTAGCCTCCATGATGCCCTGGGCTTCTTGGGTTTCGACTGTTTTGCTATGTGGAAGGCGTGGCGCTCCCGCACCAACGATCAATGGACGCCCTGGGGTCTCAGGGTTGGGTTTCTTGTGGAAGGTTTCTTGTGGTCGAGCCTCTACAGTAGCTGTGTTACCTACACCGCACGTCCGCTCCGTCAGGCACGGGACGACACGTTCGCGCGGCGACGTTCTGACGGAAGTCCGACGTCCATCCGACGCGACTCCGAGGTGCATCCGACGCAGTCCGACGGGAACCCTACACGAGCATCCGATCGTGGATCCCACGCGCACTCGGTCGCAGGCTGCCGCGCGGGGCCCCCGGCTTGTCCCGCGCGCTAAGTTCCTCCCTCGCTCTGCCTCCTCCCCGCGCTCCCTCCCCCCTTCCCTTGGCATCGCTCGGACGTGTGCAGTTTTCCTTCGGCGAGGGCCATCGAGGAGCATCCTCGACCATGACCACGCACGAAGCCCCCAAAAAAGCACAGGGAATGGACGTCCGAGCGATGGCCAGCTTCCCCCTTTCCCCGTGCTGGCCTGTGCTCCCTTGCTGCAGGGCCTGGAGTGGCCTCCATGCAGGGCTGAGAGCGCCCACGGATCCAGGGCGGGAAACCGTCCTCTGGGTGGGAGGGGGCCGTGCACCTCGGGATGCGCGCGGGCGCCGCCCGGTATTGCCGTGGGATGGGTCGGTTCCACGCGGCGCCGGCGCGCGGCGTGACGTGACCGGGGGGAGGCGGGAGGGGGGGTGCGGTGGGGCCGGTCACGGGCGACATCGCGAGTGATGCAACGCGAGCTTTTGATCCTAGGGCCTCAAGGGACCCTTGGCATCGCTCGCACGTGTGCATTTTTCCTTCGGCGAGGACCATGGAGGAGCATCCTTGACCATTTGGCGAAAAAAAACACGCCGAAACCGAAACCGAGAAAAACACGTCCGAGCGATGGCGAGCAAGGGACCTCGAACCAAGTTTGAAAGCACCCACGGAGCCAGGGCAGGGACCCGAGGCGACGAGCATGTGTGGCACTGAGCACGGCCAGACCACCCTACCCGCGGTACATCCCCCTCCTCCTGCAGCTGCCGCTTGGTGATGCATGTGCTCTGGGGCACCCCCCAGCTGTTGTTAGCGGCATGGAGAAGCGATACCAGCACCAATAGGGAGCCACCTCCAGCGAAGAGGTCCACGACGAGGACCCCCCGAGCTGATGATAGGGGGATGTCTCGAGCGAGGGGGTGGACCACACCACCAGGGGTAACCCCTCCCTGGCTCCTCCCGCTGGTGCTCCCTGGTGGTTCCTCCTCCTCCTGCTCCTCCTCCTTGGCGTCACGTTGACATGTGCCTGAGCTGCGCATGTAGCACAGGACAGAAGCCACGCGCAGACGGGAGCGTCGGCAGGGAGCACCATCGCGCGCGGGCACTTTTGGCCCACGCTCGAGGGCTTGCGGCCGCCGGAGGCGGAAATAGAGGAGGGAGGAGGAGGAGGAGGAGGAGGAGGAGGAGGAGGAGGAGGAGGAGGAGGAGGAGGAGGAGGAGGAGGAGGAGGAGGAGGAGGAGGAGGGGAGGCGACGGGGGCCGGACGCGATCAAGTGCCCATTCTGCGCGCTTAGCCGTCGGCCCCCTGCTGCCCTGGGCGGCCCCCCTCTCCGAGGCCCGGAGCCGGACGAGGAGCGCTTCCACCTGGTGCCCCGCGTCGGGTGGAACCAGTGCCTGCGGGGCCTGCGCTGCGGTGCCAGGACGCCGCTGGGCCGCCGCTGCATCGATCGCGCGGTCCGAGGGCCTGGGCCTCCTAGATTGGGTCGGAGCAGATGGGGTCGGAGGATCGCGCCGCGTCGCCGAGCCATCCCCGATGCATCGCCGATGCATCGCCGATTTATCAGCGATGCGGCTCGATGTTGGGCACAAGCTTCTCCCCGCCCACGTCTCCGATGCATCGCCGATGCGCCAGTGCATGGCCGTTGCATCGGCGATGCGGCGCGATCCTCCGACCCTATCTACCCGGACCCCATCTAGGAGGCCTCGAGAGGGGGAGGAGGCACAGCCCTTCGTGGGTGTCAAAACGCTGGGGGCTTTTCTTTTTTGGTGTGTTGCCGTTCTCGTGTGTTCGGTTTGCGGCCGGCCAAAGCGCAAACATCTGAACGGCAGTACAAACGGAACCGAACCTTCAACGGCGCGATCGAGAATCCCAGAGCGGAAAACAAACGCACCCCAAAAGCGAAAAGCACAGTCGATTTTGACAACGAGAAATAGAACGCCTCTAGTTGTTTTTCACTCGAGAGGATTCCACAGGCCATTCCGCCGACTCCCGAGAAGGTCAGGCACAGCATGATGATGTCGACGACGAGGACGAGGAGAAGGAGTGGGACGAGGAGGAGGAGGAGCAGGAGGAGGACGAGGGCGTCGAGGCATGTTGCAAGAGGATCCGGGTCCTGGTGCGAGGCTTCTGGTGGGCGTTCTTCAGAGCGCCCCCCAGCGTTTGCCACATCCTCTGCAGTCAACGCGCATAGCAAGGATGGGCAGCCTTCCAACGGGTATCCTCTCATCCTTCCCCTTCGACCCATCCTTGACCGCTTCCGCTGGCCGCTCCCCGCACGCCAAGTGTCGACGTGTGCCTCCAAGGCCCTTGCAGCCTCATCTCGAATCTTTGTTCAACGGGTTGACTCTCCTCCTCCTCCTCCTCCTCCTCCTCCTCCTCCTCCTCCTCCTCCTCCTCCTCCTCGAAGAGCCTCCTCCTCCTCCTCCTCGAAGGCCCAGCCCTGGCGGTCGGCCCTTGCTCTGCGGTCATCGCCGGGGGCCACTCCCCCCCCCCCCGCGAGCGGTGCCGCGCCGCTCTCTGCCTCGTGCCCCTCTTACGGTGCGCGAATAACGACCACAGCCACTGCTCTTCTTTTGTTGCCGCCTTCCAGCCAGCAGGAACAAAGCAGTGTTATGTCGGGCGTGTCCCCCTACGGGGGGATTTTCGACGAACAATAAAACATATTCCGAAAATGCACCAAAAAGGGTAAACTACTCAAACAATAGTCCCCATATTATTTTTGTATTATAATTTGATTATTTTTGGGGTGCTTTTAATTTGTCGTCGAAATCTCCCTGTGGGGGACAGGCCCGATTTAATTCCAGCCAGCAGAAACAAAGCAGTGGTTGTGGTCATTTTCGTTAGGCTCGGCACCAGGGAGAGGACCACAGCCACTGCGTCTTTTTCGGCCGGCCGGAAGGCGGCGCAAGCAAGAAGCAGTGGCTGTGGTCGGTTTCCCGTCCCGCACCTCTGCCGCTCCCTGCCTCTGCTCCCCGCCCCGCCCTGCGGGTCCGAGGGCCTGGCATCGCTCGGACGCGTGCACCCCTCGCGGGCGGCAGAGATCAGGAGGGGAAAAAAGCACACAGACACAATCCGTCGTCGATTCCCCAGAAGATATGGGAGAATATGGGAAGTAGGGGGGGAGACGAACGTTCAAAAAACATGGAAAATATGGGGAACCGTTTTATTTGTGTGTATTTTTTGTGCGTCCCAGGGCCCCTTCAAAAGTGGGGGGTGAGGACTAGGGGGGGTGGATATCATGGCGGGGGTCATGATCTTCAAGCTTACGCCACATCCGCCGACCCCTTGTTTTTTTTTCTGGGGCGATCGCCGGTTTTGGGAGGGGCTCTGTTGGAGGCTCTGTGAGGCGGCCGGAGGGGTTCATGAGTGGTCTGGATGTCATCTTGGTCGATCATTTTTTTGTTTGGTTCTTCTTCCTTTCTCTGGCGCGTCGGGGTCCTCTTGGATTGCCTGTGGGCCTTCTTGGGAGGTCTCAGGGGTCGTTTTGGAGCTCCGGAGCGAGCCCATGGACTTGGGCGCCTCGTGGGTCGTCTTGGCGCCCTTTTGGGGACGTCTTGGGAGCCTCTGGGCCCTGGACGGCAATGCGGGACGACGTCGCGTTCACACTGCGACGCAAAGAAGGGCACCCTGAAATGCAAGACATGCAAATGATGTCCAATCGGACGCGCGTACTGGGGAGGAAAAGGAGGAGGGGGAGAAGAGGATGGGGGGGGTGGCGGAGGATGGCGGGGAGAAACATCGAAGAGGATGAGGTGAAGCGGACAGGAAAAGGAGGAGGGGGACGAGGAGGAAGTGGAGGAGAAGGAGGGGGAGGAGGGGACACTGAGATGGGCCTCTGGGTCATGGGTTAGAGCTTTCTTGCGTGTGTAACGGGATCTCTTGGGGGGCTTCTCGTGGGACAGTTTCGAAGCCTCTTGGGAGCCGTTCTGGGGCGAAGTGTTTTAAAGCGGGACGAGCGCCGCGGAGAGACCCTCCGAAACGCCCGGCGGAACCAAGTGACGAGCATTGCGACAAGGCACGGAAGTTGCGAGGAATCTGACCGCTGGGGACGGGATGGATAAGGGGGACGTGGAGGAGGGAGGATGGGGGAGCAGCCAAAGGCGGAGAAGGTGAAAAGTGAGCCAGTGGAGGGAATACGAGACAGAAAGCTGAGAGGGGAGACGGGAGGAGGGGGCGGAAGAGGAGGATGAGAAGGAGCAGGAGAACACGACGAGGACGACAATGGCGGCGACAGACTCGACGGCGTAGGCTGGGCACCTTTTTGGGGCCATCTTGGGGGCTTCGTTGACCGTTGTGGGAGCCTCTGGCGCCGTCGTCGTGAGAATCCTCTCGGGGGCCTGCGGGAGGCAGTTTGGAGGCTTCTGGGGAGCTGTTTTGGGGCAGCTTGGGGCTTTTTTTGGGCTTGTTGGGGGCCTCTTGGGGGCTTCTTGGAGCCTCTTGGAGGCCTCTTGGGGCCTCCTTGGCGCCTTTTGGGGCGGAAGGCTAGAATTTTAGGTTCGTGGTCCCCGTCTGGAGCCTTTCTTGGGCCCCTCTGTGGGCCCTCTTGGACTGTCTGAAGGCCCTCTTGAGCCGTTTTGAGGCGCTCTTGGGCCGTGTTGGGGCCCACTTGGGAGCCTCTCGGGTCGTCTTGATGCCGTCTTGGGGGCTTCTTTCGCCGTCTTGGAGCGTCGGAAGCCCGAAAAAACGCGAAGGCCAAAAACGTTGAAAAAACCAATGGAAATCGACGATTTTGGCCTCTTGGGGCCATCTTGGGAGGCGTCTTGGAAGCTTCTTGGGGCGTCTTGGAGGCATCTGGGGCCATCTGGAGGCCATCTTGACCGTCTTCGAGTGTTTTTTCGGCGACTCGGGGCCCTCTTGGACCGTCTGCAGAGCTTCTTGGGAGCCTCTTCGCTCGTTTGCGGCCCCCCCAGCAGACTCTCTGGAGCGGATGACCCCCCCCGGACCGCGCCGGCGGATCCCGGGGAATCCGGCCGGACCCCCCCCCCCCCCCCTCCAAAACGACCGGACCAGGCTCCGGGGGGAGGGGTTTGGGGAGGGGGGAAGCATCTCACACGCCGATGACCCCAAGGGGTCGGCGGATATCTCCCCAGATTTCATGGCGCCTCTTCTCATTTCGATGCGTCCCCGGCCCCCCCACCCCCTGGGCCGCGCACGTGCCGCCGGCCATGATTTGCGCCCCCCCCTCCTGGACGCCCCCCTCTTGTCTTTGGCCGCCCCCGAGCATCTTGTCATCAAGAACAGAAGAGCCCCCGTAAATAAACCGAATCACACGATGAAGACGTGGCCTCACTGAGGTTCCCGTCCTTGCATTAGGTATAGTATCCCAAAGGGTCAGGGGGTTGTTCTTGATAAATCACGCTCGGACGTGTGAATTTGTTTCTCGGCGAGACCATCGAGGAGCATCCTAGAGGCCTCCTGGATTGTGTCGGAGGCGATGGGGTCGGAGGATCGAGCCGCATCGTCGATGCAATGCGGCTCGATGTGGAGCCCGTGTTTCCCCACGCCGACGTCGCCGATGCATCGCCGACGTCGACTATGCATTGCCGATGCATCGCCGATGTATCGGCGGTGCGGCGCGATGTTCCGACCTCATCTACTCCGACCCAATTCAGGAGGGCTCTATAAGAGCATCTTGGATCGTCGAGCAACCAAAAAGGCATGCTCGGCACCAAACAACACACGGGGAGTGGTCGTTCGAGACATGGCACGAGGAGGAACGCGCCCGGCGAGCATATCGGTCGGAGTCGGTCGTTGGACCCGTCCCTGGGTCCAGCCGCACCAGCTTCCCGAGCTGTGTCAAGCCGTGGCGACGATCGGTATCGTTTGTCCGATCCCCATCCCCATCTCCATCGCCTTCGAGACCCCCACTAGATTACCACCCCAGTTAGGGATACACCACTAGAAACCCGAAGAAAACGAACTGTATCCCCATCTAGGGGGGTAAAGCGGCCAGTGGGGCCTGGGCCACGCTGCTGGGGATGGGGATCGGTTAAACGATATTCAGACGGGCCTCCCCCGGGAAGGCTAACTACCACGGTCTCGGCTCGCCCTCCCTGTCAGGCCTCCTCGCCAGCCCCACCAGGGGCAAACATATATTCCTAGTCGCTCCCTCGCAGTCTCGGCTTCCGGGGCGCGAGCTCGCGGAGATGCCGGCTCGCACTGGTACGTTCCGAGCGAGGCATCCGCGAAAGCACGGCCCGTAACTATCCGCAGGGTCGCGGCCCAGGGGCCCAGGGGCCTTGGGCCGCGAGGCCGCGAGTACCCACATGTCTTCCGCCCACGAGAGCAGATGCCGACGTTGCTGCGCGTCCGCATGCTCCGCGAAAGCGTATGTCCTCCATTTGTCTTAGCGCCGCAGGATGTCAAAGTCGTACGCGAGAGCCCCGTTTCGAATGAGGAGCCGCCTTCCGTTCGTATGAGTTGTTGCACAATATGGAACGTTCGGCCGTAGAGGTCGAGGAATGGTCAAGTTGGTTTCGATGGTGCATTTTGTATTCGAATGTGCGCGAGGCCAAGGGGAGACCCCAGTACGGTGGGGGCTTGCGTTTAGGAATGTGCCCAGGAGGCTGCAGACCCAGGAGGGGTCCTTGTGTGATGAGGGCGGTGGTGGTACCCATGGCCGATCCACGATTGGAATTCCACCGGCTTCCAGACACTTGGTTTCTCATCTAAGGCTTCTTTGCCCCATGCCCCCGCCGTCGTGGAAAGGACTGGCCATCCACTCGCGCAGTGAACCATCGAACGCGGGCCCCCCCGGGGAGGTCGAAGTGGTTCGTCAGGTACCGCCCCGCCGCGACCTCGTCCACAACCCCTGCGACCGCTCAGGTAATGTGTTCGCGCGCCTTCGGGATCTCCGACGGCGTGCTGCAGGACTGCTCGCGACCGCGCGCTGGGCGAGCTTCTCCGCCGCCTCGGTCGCGCCGGCCCCGCGTCGGCCGGCGCGAGGAGGAGGCGGGGGCGCGGTGCGGCGCCCCTCGGGCCCGCCGGGCGCGCCAGTGGAGGGCTCGACTGCTTCGCTCACGCGCTCCTGGCCGCTCGGCGGGCATCGCGGCCGCGCGGGACTTCTGCTGCGTTGCCGAGACGCTCGAGCGGCTCTTGCGCGGCCCGCTCGGACCTCACTCGCCGCTGGCGCCTTCGCTTGCGGATGCGACAAAACAAGAGACGCTCGAGGACGACGTGCTCTCACCGCTCACACGTGGCAGTCGGTCTTCGAGGCGCGCCGCCTGCCGCGATGCCGAGCGCTTCCGCGCGCGGGGTTGAGCAGGGCGGGGCGGGGCGCCCCCCGGACAGCCAGCCCGCGCCTGGATCGCCCATTTTTGCTTCGGTGTCGTCGCCGCCGCGTCCGCCGCGCCTTGGGGCCCGCAGGCAACGCAGGGGAGCCACAACCGGGGGAGCTGTGGTCCTTGCCCCCCTGGTGGACCCATCGATTTCGACACCCCTCTCTCGAGAGATCGTCGATACGACGGGTTCCCCCAGGGGGTCAAGGACCACAGCTCCCCCAGTTCTGGCTGGTCGGCAATGCGGCCCCAGGGCCCAGATGACGGTCCGTCGCTCATTGGACGGTATTTGCGTGTGCAAAATCAGAGCCTGAATTTAGTCACTAATCTCGCCCTTCTTTTGGCGTGATCAACCGGAAAACTACCTTTCTCTCCGCTTCTGCTCATCGGTGCGCCGCTCGCGCTCCCCTCCGGCTCTTATCCTTCGCCCCCCTTCTCTATCCTTAGCCGCTCCGTGCTCCAATTGTCCGTCATCCGCTTGGCTCCGGAGGTGGCCTTCGAGGCTTTGGCATCGGACCTCCCTTCCTCTATTCTTCGCCCCCCCCCCCCTGCGCGACTGTCCAGACCGTTGCGCCTCCCGCTAAAAATTCGCGAGAGTCCGGGCCCCCCGCGACGAATTCGCGAGAGTCCCGCGAAACATTTGCGGGAACCCTTCGCGCCGTGCACTGTCCTCCCAGGCGCCCCCCCGGGCTACCTCGCCCCCGTGGGACCCCCTTGGGCGATGCGCGAGGGCTGTTCCCGCGCGAGACCACCCCAGGCGACTCGTGCAGGCATTGAGTACCGGAGACCTCCCCGGGCGATTCCACCGCTCGGACCGACCTCCCCCAGGGCGAGTCGGCCCGTCCTGGACCCCCCCCCAGGCGATCCAGGACCCACCGCGTCCTCCCAGGCGAGCGGGGGCGCCTGCGGGAAAAACCCACGCCTAAGCTCCCCCTTTTAAGGAACCTTGGCGGGGGCGATCCGCGCCATGGGCGATCGACCGCAGCAGATTCCTCCCGCACAAAAAAAACACACAAACCAACACAACAAAAAAACAAAAAAACACAAGAAAACACCTGACGGAACATAAACAACACAAAAAGACACAACAGCCACAGACACACAAAAATGACTAAATTATGGCTCTGACTTTGTACACCTAATGGTATCGCGGTTGGCTTGTCGTTGAAAGCCTTCGGCGGGCGAACTCGCATTCCTCGGGCTCGGGTACGACGGGACTTGGTGCACCTCCTCGCGACGAAGGGCCGGATCGCTGCGGGCGAGGGCGCGCTGGCGGTCGTTGCGAGCGCCACGCGGCCGCTATGCGCGGTCAGCGCGGACAACAGGGTCGTCTCCAGCGCCGCCTGGGCAGTGCTTGGACTGGCCCTGGCTCCGAGGACTTGCCATGACCGTCGCGGTGTCTATGCCGCATGTCCCGTGCTAGCTAACGCCGTCGACCTGGGGGGGCAATGTGCTTCGACGCGATCGAGCACCCCGAATCCCTGTCCGTCTCCGCGGACTTCGAGGCTGCGTTCCCCTCGGCGAAGCACGGCTTCTTGCTCGGGCCTATCCCGGCTTGCCAAATGGGTCTGCTGGCCATCGCTTCCTGCTTGGCGCCGCCAGAACGCGTGCGCGCATTCGGCGGGGCAAGATACGATGGGCTCGAGGCCGCGCGGGGGGTCGGGCGGCGCTGCCCGCCGCCCGCCCAGCCCCTCGCTGCCTCGCCAGGCCTCCTCGAGCGAGCGCGGCGACTCGGCTGGCCACTGCGGAGTGCCTGTGCGGATGACAGCGCAGTGCTCCGCCACGGCGGGCTGATCCCGCCGCGCTCGCGCTCGCCCCCGCTTTCGCCGAGTTCGCGCGGGTCTCCAGCTTGCGCTGCAACGCCGTCAATTTCTGGCCAGCGCATGTCACGGCAATGGATGGGCGCGCGTTCAACAAGTGCTTTTGAGCAGCAAGAGCAGTGGATTAATAATGCGAGGAACGGACTCACTAAATCGCGCCACCGAATCAAATCAAGACAAGACAGTAGTGAACGCAAAAGCGGGTTTATCACATCTAAAGCGAACTTTCCAACATTGTTCTGAATCCGGAATCCTTGCTTCAGGTTGGTCGATCAGCCGAAACAGCGGCGGGGCCTCTCTCGAACGCCGCCCCGGAGGAGCGGTGGACTGCCGTTGCGGCTCCAGCCCCCGAGCGAGGCCAGATTGGCGTTACGTCGCATGCGAAGTACGCGGGGTTTGAAGCGGGGCCCCGCCGCAACGCGCGCCCAGGGGACGCCCCTGTGAAGAAGTTCCGCGATCGAGCGGGGTAGCGGAAATCGATCGGCGCGGGCCTTTGCGCACCGGTGCCGGCGTGCTCCTCTTTGTCGCCTGGCTCAGGCGCGTTCTTTCAGTGGCCATTCAGCAAGGAGAGTTGGTCGTTGCTCCTGCTCGCCCCGTGGCCTGAGGATCGGAAGTCAGCTCTGGCACTGCAGTTTATATAGGACCTCGGGCTCAACTTCGAATTCGCTTTGCTTGGTTCCCGTGCTGCGGCCGCTGCGGCCCAGGCGTGTCAATGCGAACGCCGACGCGCTGGAAGTCCCCAGGTTCGCGCGTTCGCTTCTGCGGCTCCGGGAGGCGGTGGGCGCCGTTGCGACGGCGGCGCGTGCTCGGGGCTTCGCGCCCCGCCTGTTGGACCCCGACCCGATGGGCAACGCGGAGCGAAAGACACGGCAACTCCATGCTGCCCCTGTCCCGATGCCTCTGAGCATCCCTGCCCTGGCGCGCGCCCGCGCCGAGCCCTTTGGTATTTTGTCGTTGCCTCGGCCTGGCCGGCTGCGCGCGGTCGCCCAGCTGTCGTCGGCTCGAGCGCGCCCGCGACGTGCGTAGCCTTCGCCCGCGCGGCGTTCCATGGGCGGCGCGCGGCGTGGCGCTCTCAGGGTCGAGCGGAGCGCAGGTGCGGATGCAGTCGCGGGGGGGGGGGGGGGGGGCGCCCTCGATGGGGCACTGCGTTTTTGCGACTTGCGTCGCTCCATGTGCTCCCGCCGCGCCAGCCCGGCGCGCCCGGCGCCCGAGGTCCGGCTGGTTTGTTCCTTGAGTCTCGGCCGCTCCCGGCGCCTCAGCCAAGACGAGGGCGCCGAGGAACAAGCCGCGCCGTTGCGCGCGCGCAGCGCGCGCAGTGCACAGGGCGCGCGGCGCCGCCGGCCGCCGCGCGCGGAGGCCGTCGCCCCCGCTCGCCCCGCCGCGCTGCAGAGGGGGGCGCCGTGCGCTGGAAGTCTCTGCCGCGCTCCGCCAGGCGCCAGCAGTTGTGTCGTAGTCTCGGTTCTTCCTTCCCTTTTCCTCTCTGCGCCGCTCTGCCCACGGCCGCATCGCTGGCGCTCTTCGGCTCCGCGCCCTGCCCGCCATCAGCGCGGCGCTTCGCAGCCGCTCGTGGACGTTCATTGCGGTCGCTGGGATTTTATTGCAGTTTCTGCGCGCCGCCGCTGGTCGCGCATTCGGGCTTCAGGCCAGCAGGCTCGCCACTGATGTGGGTCAGGGGTACTTGCTTCGTATCATTCGATGTGTGTTGTCTTCTCTCTTTTTCCTCATCTCCACTTCACGTTCTCCTCCCAGTGCCCTCATGTACATCGTTTTCGTTGAGGCTTGCAGTTTGCGTGGTCATCCGCGGATCTCGGGCCCGTCGTGTTGTTCAACGGTGCTGTTTCGCCCGTGTGCCGAGCCCCCAGTGGCGCACAACGGCTCGCCTATGGCAGGTTGCCCCGCGCTGCTCCAGGCGTGTTTGATTGCTTCGTTGGCTCCCCCTCTCCGCCTGCTCCTCCGCTCCTCCCCCTGAGTGTGGTGACGTTGGCCCAGCAGGTCATTATAGAACATGTCCAGTGCGATGATATTGAAAAAAGCACCGATCGTCGCGACCTTTCCCCGGCCGCCCAATACAGAGGATCCGATGCGGACAAAAAAGGGCGTTTTTTGCTGAGAAGGAATATCCCTCCCTCCCTCTCTCTTCCGAGCGCTCGGTCGTTCGCCGTCGTCGCCGTCGTCGCCGTCGCCGCCGCCGCCGTCGCCGCCGCCGCCGTCGTCGTCGCTGTCGTCGTCGTCGTCGTCGTCGTCGCTGCCGCCGCCGTCGCCGCCGTGGCGCGCCCAGGAACACGCTGACCTGGCGCGGGCACGGCGCGCCGCCCGCGCCGCCGGCGGGGCCCGCGTGCCTGCTGCTGCCCGCGAGCGACGCGGCGGCAGTGGAGATCGCCCGCCAGCAGGACGCCGCCCGGGCCGCAGGGAGGCAGGAGGAGGAGGAGGAGGAGGAGGAGGAGGAGGAGGAGGAGGAGGAGGAGGAGGAGGAGGAGGAGGGAGAGGAGGAGAAGGAGGAGGAGGAGGAGGAGGAGGCTTCGGGGACCGCGGGGGCCGCAGGGGGGGCGCGGGCGAGGCGACGGGGTCCCCCTTTCCGACTCCTCACCCACGTGCCTCCCCATCCTTCGCCCGCCCGTCCTCGTCCAACTCCCCTTCCCCGCCCCCATCCTCCTCCTCCTCTTCCTCCTCGTTTTCCCCTTCCTCCTTTTCCTCCTACTCCTCCGTTTCCTCTTCCTCCTCTTTCTCCTCCTCGTCCGTCTGCTCCTCCTCCTCCTCCTCCTCCGCCTCTCCCTCCTCGTCCCCAGGCTCTTCGGAGAGTTCGTCCTCGGGTACGGGGAAAGAGGGCGAATGCGGCTAGTAATATGTAGAATGGGGGAGGCAGAGGAGGGTGGGGAGGGTGCGGAGGAGGAGGAGGCGGAGGAGGAGGAGGACAATGCGTAGACGGAGCAGGAGGCGGAGGAGGAAAAAGTGCAGTTGGCGGAAGAGGAGGAGGGTGACGGCGACCTGATGCAGCGGCAGAAGGCGAAGTCCAAGTCCAAGGAGGAGGAGGAGGAGCAGAAAGAAGAGGAGGAAAGGGAGGAGGAGCAGCAGGAGGAGGGAGGAGGAGGAGGCTCACTCTTTGGACGTTTCTGGTCGTGCTGGAGGGGGGGGGCGCCCTCGTGTCCACGGCTGGATCCGCCTCGCAGGGGGCGGGGGCAACGTCTCGCGCTCGACGGGCGTTCTCGTCGACTCTCCGTGGCTTGCGAGCCTCGGGGTGCTCTCCAGCATCCGCGCCTCGCCGAGAGCGTCCCCGATGGTGGCTGGGTCGTCACGATTTGCCACAGGAGACCCGAGCTCGCACCCGAGAATCAAGGGGCAACTTGAGGAGGAGGAGGAGGAGGAGGAGGAGGAGGAGGGAGGAGGAGGAGGAGGAGGAGAGGAGGAGGAGGAGAAGGAGGAGGAGGAGGAGGAGGTGGTGCTCGCCCACGCGCCCACTGATTGCCGATGTGGGTCTGACAGTCCGGCCGGCCCAGGGTCGTGCGGTGTCGCTCCTCGCCGAGTTGTCGGCGCGATGTATCGCCAAGTCCGGGTCGAGGTCTGCCTCTCGGGGCCAGTCGACCCCCCCTTCACCGTTGCCCCTCAGGAGGAGGAGGATGGGGAGGAGGAGGAGGAGGAGGAGGAGGAGGAGGAGGAGGAGGAGGAGGAGGAGGAGAAGGAGGAAGAGGAGGATGGGGAGGAGAAGGAGGAGGAGGAGGAGGACCAGTGTAAACCCAAGAGTCATCAACGACGTCGGAGTAAATCCTCCCTCCAAGCTCCCTCTATGGACTTGCCTCCTTGGAAGACCCCCGTTTGAAGACCCTGAAGCATGCCAAAACGTTGTTCTCGGGATCCCAACGCCACGATCAACCTGACTGTTGCGTCTTGCCGATCTTGAATCGTGCCAGAGCGCCATTCTTGGGACTTCAACATAGAGAAGCAACTTAGCTGTTGCACCCGCATAATCCTGAATCCTTCCTACACATCATTTCTGGAACGTTGATAGTGGGAATCCGTGAAACGAATGTGCGCGGCGCTAAGGCGAGTGCCACATGATGAGAAGGAATCGCCCTCAATCCGTCAAACTCTTGCAACATTTTACAACGAATGTGCGCCGCGCTAAGGCGATAGCCACATTTTGAAAACGACCCGCCCTCAATCCGTCAAACTCTTGCAAATTCTTAAAACGAATGTGCGCGGCGCTAAGACGAGAGCCCACATTTTGAAAACGAGCCGCCCTCAATCCGTGAAACTGTTGCAAATCTAAAAACGAATGAGCGCGGCGCAAAGGCGAGAGCCAGATTTTGAAAACGACCAGCCCTCCATCTGCGAAACTGTTGCCAATTTTGTAAGCTTCAGAGTCATAAATTGTGATGACGTCTCAGGCGGAACGCCCGGCCCGCCCTAAAATCTGGCTTCGGGGTGCGACAGGGAGAAGTTATTCATAAGGAAAAGGAATGGAGAAGAAGTAGGAGGAGGAGGAGTCGGAGGAGGAGGAGGAGGCGCAGGAGGAGGAGACAGAGGAGGAGTAGGAGGAGGAGGAGCAGTAGGAGGAGGAGGAGGAGGATGGGCAGCGTCGAGGAGAAACAGGGCCCACCGCCCTCCGAGAACCCATGGGTGGGTGGGGATGGGGCGACGCCCGAGCGTGTGCAAGTCGGAGCGTCGTCCCGTGCCGGGTGACGCGCCGGGCGTGTTGCCGTCCAGAGCGCCGGCCTGCCCCGATGGGTCCTCCGTGGCGGTGGCCCCCTTGAGTCAGGCGATCGCAAAAATGGATCGGGGGGCGTGGATTAGCGACGGGTCCCGTTTCCGTGGGAAGTCGCGGACTGCCGCCTCCGAGCGAAGGCGGCACCGGCCGCATTTGGGGGAGGGCACCTCCCCCGATCCATGGATTTGGCGGCCGCGCGCCTCGTCGACCCTTGAGCTCTCTCTTGACTCGTCCGGTCCCGAGTGGGACATGAGTTTGTCCTCCGCATTCGTTCCGCTCTGCCCTGGGCGTCTTTGCCAACGGGGGCCATTTCATGGGAGCTAGTTCTCTGTCTCCGTCTCATGCTTCGTTCCACCGTCTCCGTCTCCGCTTCCTCCTCCACCTCCTCTTCCTTCGTCTCGTTCCCGTCTCTCCCCCTGGCGAGGTAGAGGAGGAGACGCAGGAGGTGGAAGAGCAGGAGGAGGCAGAGGACGACGGCGACCAACTGTAGCGACAGAAGGCGAAGTCCCAGGAGGAGAAGGAGTGCTTGAAGTCAAATGGCCCATGGTGGCGCCAGAGGCCTAATGTGCGACCAGGGTGTGCCTCTCGAGTGCTGGGCAGCCATGCAAGCCGACGGGCTTGCCGGAGAGTTTCTCAGAAGCCTTGCTGGCCTTGTCCAAGCACCACGTCCTGTCTCGCGTGCGATACTTCAGCTTGAGCCTAGAGCCCGATGGGGCAGTGCAGCCAGGGAGGCAGGGCTCATTGCGACTCCTCCGACTCGACACGATTCAATTCCGATTCCGATTCGATTCAGTTTCGGATTCCGATTTGGATCTCGTCGTCTCATTGGAGGCCTTCTTATCCCGCCGATCTCCGCCGCTTCAACTTCTCCCGCTCGGCTGCCGCTTTCCGCCGACCCGATTCTTTCCCATCGACGATCCGACCTTATCGATTCGATTCTGGGCCCTCTTGCAGGATGAGGAGGATCGGGAGGGGAAAAAACATACAGACACAATCAACCGTCGCCCCCGGGGAAAATACGGCAAAAACATACAGACACAATTAATCGTCGGGGGGAAGGCGGAAACCCAGCAAAGATGGGGAAATATAGGGAATCCTGGGATTTGTGCCCATTTATTCGTGTGTCCCAGGGCCCTTTGGGAGGAGACAGGCGATCGCAAACATGGATCAAGGGGGCGTGGATTAGCGACGGGTCCCGTTTCCAGGGGACATCGCGGATTTCCGTTGCCGAGCGAGGCGGCACCGGCCGCATTTTCCAAATCCACGGATCGCTAATCCATGTTTGCTCGCCCCCGAAGGTCGGGCCCGACGAAAGGGGGGGATTGGGAAAGGGGGGGGTACGAAATCTGCTGCATGCAGCTGGTTTCGGCCCCACGGATGGGCCCATTCCTCGATACGGAGCCGTCTCCAGCGCCGGGCGCCGGGAAAATCAGCCACGTGAGCTGATTCTCAAACCCCCTTTTTGCTCTCCCCCCCTTTCGCCCTGCCCGAGGAGGAGGAGGAGCAGCAGCGTGGGTCCGCGGGCGGCTTGGGTGGGAGGGCGGGCCGGCCGTGCAGGCTGCCCCCCCGCCTGCAGGAGGGCCTCCGGGCGCTGGGCTGGAGGGTCGTCAGCTCCTCGCCGGAGACGATCTCTCGCCTGGGGGACAAGGCGCTCAGGGTGTCGGGACGGTGCGTCGTAACAAAAAAACAGGAGGCGAGGTTTTTGGCCATTTTCGGCCCCAGGGGGCCCTCGCCAGGCCTCAGGACCGTCAAAGAACGATTCAGGACTACAAACCTGTCCTGGGGAAAGGGTCGGGACTTCTAGGGACGCCGTCTCGAACAAATCAGGACGTCGCATGTCTGATAATGGGTACGGAAAGAATGGGTACGAGGACTAACAGCAGTTCTCGTTCCTTTTGAACAGGACTCGCTGTCCGCGCCGCCGCGGACGGTGTCCATTTGAGACAGAAGGCCGCCTGCCCAACAGTGGCCGCTGTCGGTTTTGGACAACATTTGTTGTTGGGTATTGCACCCATTTTTTCGGACCCATTTCGGGCGTCCATTCCTCAGGGGCATCGCTTGGAAAGAGGGGGTCTCTTTTGGAGCCGTCTGGGGGTCTACGGTGGCCCAGCACTGGTTCTTTGCCAGCACTGGCAGGTTTGAGGTTCTGGGTTCGAGAGCGTTTTTGGTTTTTTGTTCGGCTTCCAGGGGCTACTCCCTGGCCCATTGACTGTCACAAACGGATCTGGATATTCCCTGGAGGGGTCTGGGAACCACGAGTGGATTTGAGCGGTTCAGCTGGGTTGGTTTCGTTTCTTCCGATTCGATTCGATTCGACCTCGATGGCTTCCGATGCCGATGCGATTCGACTCCAGATTCCGATCGGGAGTCCGAGGTCTCAGTGGAGGCCTTATTAGCCTGCCGATTACCCGCCGATTCGAATTCGCCCCACTTGCCTGCCGATTTCTTCTGCCAACCCGACTCGTTTCGATCGCCGGCCCGACTTATCGATTCGGTTCTGGGCTCTCCGGCCCCCCCCCATCGCCCCCAGTCGTCGTCGTCGTCGTCGTCGTCGTCGTTGTCGTCGTCGTCGTCGTCGTCGTTGTCGGCTTTATCGTAGCGGGGTCGTCGTCGTCGTCGTCGTCGTCGTCGTCGCCGTCGTCGGCTCTATCGTAGCGGGGAGTCCGGCTTCTCGGTTCGATTCCTGGGCTCCTCCGCAGGGGGCGAGGTCTCGGGTTCGAGGTGTTCTGGCGCTCCCGCCGGTCGTCGGCGCCCTTGCAGCCTCTGGGGGTGCTCTCCGGCAGCCGCGCCCACGGCAGCAGGATCGGCCGAGCTGCGGCTCCCAGGACGAAGAGCAGGAGGAGGAGGAGGAGGAGGAGGAGGAGGAGGAGGAGGACGAGGACGAGGAGGAGGAGGAGGAGGAGGAGGAGGAGGAGGAGGGGGGGGGAATGAGCTCACGGGGGAACGCATCGACACCCACTCGCCTGCTCATCGACAGCAGAGGCGCGATGGCCCCGCCCCGCCCAGGAGCTGCGGCGCCAAGGACGAAGAGCAACGTCGGGGGGGGGGTACAGTCGGGGCGCTGAAGAAGGAACCCTTTTCGTTGGGGAGGGCCTCGGTGTTCCTTGATCGTTTCACAGCTTGCCTCAGGTTTTCCTCATGTGTTCGATGGGAAATCGAAGTTCAACTTGTGAAAAAAGGGGGCCTCGTTCCTCATTTAGGGTTCCTTAGGTCAACGCCCCGACGGTAATGGGCTCGGGGGGGGAACGCACCGACGCCCACTCGCCTGCTCATCGACAGCAGGGGCGCGATGGCCTCGCCCCGCCCAGGAGCGTGCGTGAGCCCGCAGCTCGGGGGCTCATAGCCGAGACGTCGGCGATGCATCGTCGATTCCTCTCGCTTCGCGGGGTGCACGCCCTGAGCACGTACAGTTACGTCGTCGCGGGGCCTCTTGGGAGCCTCTTGGGGGCCTCCTGGAGGCCTCTTCGGAGGTTCTTTGGGCCTCTTGGGGGCTTCTTTGGGGCCTCTCCCCCCTCTCTCCTTTTCATGCTCCCTCCCCATATCTCCTTCCAGCGCCAGCTCTAATCATGCGCGCCGCCGTGTCCAACTTCCACCTGGCTGGCGCTGCGCCGTCGTTCGCCCAGGGGGGGAAATAACATTACGCTCCAGTCGTTGTGTAGCCTTGTGGGGGCTTCTTTGAGGCCTCTTGGAGGCTTCTTGGGGATTTCTTGGAGGCCTCTAGGTTTTTGTTTGGGAGTTCCTTGGGGGCCTCTTGGGGGCCTCTCGGGGCCTCTTGGAGGCATCTTGGGCCGTCTTGGGGCGTTTTTGCGCCGTTCCGCCCCTTTCGGAGGCCGTCTTGGGGGCCTCTCGCGGCCGCCTTGGGGTTTATCTTGGGGTCCTTTTGGGCCGCCTCAGCGCTTTTTTTTTGGACCGCCTTGGGGGCCTCTTTGAGCCGTCTTGGGACCCTCCTGGGCCGTTTGGGGCCCTCTTTGGAGCCTCTGGGGGCATCTTGGGGACGTCTTGGAACCGTCTTTGGGCGCTCTTACGCCGTCTGGCCACTTCGGAGGCCATTTTGGAAGCCTCTCGCGGCCGCCTTGGGGCTCTCTTGGGGTCCTCTGGGGCCGTCTTGGGGGTTTCTTGGGCCGTCTTGGAGGCTCTTTTTGGCCGTCTCGGGGCCCTCTGGGGCCGTCTTGGGGATACCTTGGAGGCTTTTTGGGCCGTTTAGGGGCCTTTTTGGAGGCTGCTTGGGCCGTCATGGCCTTCTGAGAGCCGAAAAGGCGAGAACGTTGAAATTGTCGAAAAACTATAGGACAATCAAAGATTTTGGCCTCTGGAGGCGCTTTCGGGAGTCTTCTTGGGGGCCTGTTGGATCTTTTGGGGGGGCTCATGGGCCCTCTTGGGGCCGTCTTGGGCAGTCTTGAGGCCGGCTTGGGCTGTATTGGGGCCATATTGGGCCGTCTTGAAACCTTCTTGGGGCCCCAAGAGGCCCAAGAGGCCGAATTTGTTGATTTCTTATATCGCCCCGCCCCGCCCAGCAGCGTGCGTGAGCCCGCAGCTCGGGGGCTCATAGCCGAGACGTCGGCGATGCATCGTCGATTCTTCAGGCGTAAGCCACATCCGCCGACCCCTTAATTGAAGTCAATTGTCAGATGGTTCGAAACCATTTGGCGGTCGTTTTGGGGTTCTTGTCGGGTTTCTTGGGAGCTCTTCGCGGCCTGAGGGGGGGCATCTTTGGGGCTGTTCGGGCTACTCGGCGATGCATCGTCGATTCCAGGTCGATGTTCCCCCCCCTCCCCCCTCCTTGTGCTGGTGCTGCCCCAACCCTGGCGCCCCCACCTCGCGAGGCGCGGCTGCGGGGGCTTGCCGAGGAGCTCGGGCTGCTGGCGTTCCTGCCCGTGCACTACGCGTCGCCAGGGGAGGCCGAGTACCCCTGCATACTCAAGTCTGCGTCTGGCGAGTTCGGCAAGGACTGCCACATCTCGGGTGCTGACGGGACCGAGCTCAGCCGCCAGGAAGCAGGCGAGCCTTAAGTCGGACATGTCCCTTCACAGGAGGAACATTCAGAATAGTAAAGCATTGTCAGGGGACACATATTGGATTATGTTTGATGTTTTTTTGATTATTCTTGTATTGTCCGTCCAAACTCCGCCTGTAGACGGACATGCCCAACCTAAGGCGGATCCTCGAGGAACACGGAGCCTGGATGCGTTTCTGACGCTTCGTCCTCCGCGTGTCCTCCACGGGCCCCAGAGGGCAGCATAAAAAACGGCTCCGGATGCTAAGTCTAAGTCGGGCTTGTGCGTCTACAGGATGAATACTCAACCATGGTAAACAAACAGTTTGGGGACGGTTCTTCTTGTATGTCTGACAACGTTTGAAACTGTTTGTAACTATTTTGTATTTTCTGTCCAATCCGCCCGCAGGAGGACATGTCCGACCTAAGTCCAGGATCCGTTTCCCTCCTGGACCCTTTCGGAGACCCCAACAGTGACACGTCGATTAGTGAATTGCCCGTTTTCGGATCTCGAGAGGGCGCCGTGGCCGTTATTTTCCAGGCTTGCGCCGGCCAGGTTTGGGCCTCAGGTCGTTTTCACTAAATCACGTTTTACTAAAGGGGGGTCTGTCCATCCCCGACCCTCCTGGATCTGTGCTGGACCCACTGTGCGGGCACCGCGCGCCAGGGGCGAGGGGTCCAGAGCAGATCCAGTAATGAATCTGCGCTGGCCTCCTCCTCCTCCTCCTCCTCCTCCTCCTCTCCTCCTCCTCCTCCTCCTCCTCCTCCTCCCTCCTCCCTCGTCCCTCCTCCCTCCTCCCTCCTCCCTCCTCCCTCCTCCCTCCCTTTCCCCCTCTCCTCCCTCCTCCTCCCTCCTCGGTGTCACGGTTTAAGACGGAAGATTGTTCTTCTGCTAAGGCAAGCGGGCGGGGGGGGATACAACATTTGCTGCGCTTTGCTGCTTCCGGCCACGCCGCCGGGGACAAGCGGGCATGCCCTTGGCGTGGAGGCCACCCTGCCAGGGTGCGCAACATGGGAGGCGCGGTGCAAAGGGGCAGGAAATCGATCCGGCGCCTGGGCCCCCCAGCGCGTATTTCTTGGATCCGCGCCTGGGCCCCCCAGCGGCGCCTCCGGCGCCGCCCCTGGCGGGTCCAGCGCGGATCCACGAAATCTTCGCGGACCTGCAAGCGCCAAAAGTTAATGTTTTTGGCGTTTTATCTTCGTCTAGAACAGGGGAGGGAGGTGTGCGACATCGGCTGCACGCAGCTGGTTTCGGCTCTGCCGCCAGGTCGCCGACAGGGGCACGATAGCCCGCCCTGCCTAGGAGCGTGCGGACTCGCCCTCGGGGGTCCATCGCTGATCTATCGGCGATGTATCGCGGATTCCAGGTCGATGTTCCCCCCCCCCGGAGCTAGTCCCCCCCCTACACGTCCCAGACGTCGGGCCGCTCCAAATCCTTGGATGGGTGGACCCCTGGAAGTTTGGACCACTTCCCCAGGGCCCTACAGGGCTGGTTTTTCGCCCTGAGTCGTTTGTTGAGGCTCCTGAGTCGCCAGAAGCGCGACGCTCTATCTTTCCCTGAGCGCCTTGGATTCCGGCGGGGTGGAGGAAGAGGAGGAGGAGGATGCGGAGGAGGAGCAGGAGGAGGTAAATGGGAGCCCAAGCTCCTGTCCAGAGCCCTTGGCAGTCTTCGCCCCCCTGGCTCTGTCAGCACCCGGGCGTCGTGAGCGGGCCCGCCGAGGCGGACCGGCGGCTCGGCGGTCCCCTGACGCCCGCGTGGGTGCTGCAGGAGCTGGTCACGGGCCGCATCGAGCACTCGACAGACCCCGGGGGGGACGGCCAGCGAGGGGCGGCGGCGGCCAAGCGACCGAGATCCTGGCGTCTCAGTTTTTTCTTTGTTTGAGCCGGGCGTTCTCGCCCAGACTCGGACCATCCCGGGACCTTCATCGCAGATCCGTCGGGCTCGGAGAACGGGGCAGAAGGATGGAGGCTAGGGCTGCAGTCGTCATTTTTCATTCCGTTCCGCTAGGCCTCCCAGATGGGGTCGGAGTGGACGGGGTCGGAGGATCGCTCCGCATCGCCGATGCATCGGCGATGCGGTTCGACGTGGAACCCGATATGCTTCGCGTTGACGTCGCCGATGCATCGCCCACGTCGACGATGCATCGCCGGTGCATCGCCGATGTATCGGCGATGCCGAGCGATCCTTCGACCCCATCTACTCCGACCCATCTGGAAGGCCTCTAGTTCATTCGATCTGGGGGTAAAGCGACGCCAGGCATGAGGCGAATTCAGGGTGCCGCGGGTCTCCTGACGCGCTCTTCACCGAGGCCTTCGATGCGCACATCGGTACAGCCTTCCATCTCCGTTCGAGGAGGAGGAGGAGGAGGCGGAGGAGGAGGAGAAGGACGATGATGAGGAGGAGGAGGAGGAGGAGGAGGAGGAGGAGAACGGGAGGAGGAGGAGGAGGAGGAGGAGAAGGAGGAGGAGGAGGAACCCTTGGGCCAGCATCTGCGGGCCCTTTTCTGCGCGTGCTGCGACTGCTCTTAGGGCGGGGCTCGAGGTCAACGGCTTCTCCTGGTATCGTCGAGAGTTCGACGCGTTAGATATCTTCGACGCCGCCCCCATGACAGGATCTGCGCGGCTCACTCAGGTCGCGGAGCGGCGTCGAAAGTCGCCGAGCGCGAAGGCGTTCCCCAGCTGCGGCAGGGGTACAACCTAGAGCCTCCTCGGGTCCAATAAGCCACTGCCCGCGGAAAGAGAGGGCATTGCATTTTTACCTAACAGCGAAAACTGATAGGTTTCTAGTGGGGTCAAAAGCGAGCTTCATGACTCCTCAGGGGGGTCGGGGCGGGACCCGGGGCGGGACCCGGCGCGGCTGCCGCGCAAAATCGCTCTTGGCGCTGCTAGAACTCCATTCCCGGCGTACATTTTGGATGCCCAGAGCCAACTGTAGGCCACTTCGTGCTCTTCGACTTCCCAGAACTCCATTCCCGGGCCACATTTTGGATGCCCGGAGCCAACTGTAGGCCACTTCGTGCTCTTCGACTTCCCAGAACTCCATTCCCGGGCCACATTTTGGATGCCCGGAGCCAACTGTAGGCCACTTCGTGCTCTTCGATTTCCCAGAACTCCATTCCCGGGCCACATTTTGGATGCCCGGAGCCAACTGTAGGCCACTTCGTGCTCTTCAAGTTCCCAGAACTCCATTCCTGGGCATGATTTTGAATGCCCGGAGCCAACTGTAGGCCACCTCGTGTTCTTCTAGTTCCCAGAACTCCATTCCTGGGCCACATTTTGAATGCTGAGGCAGGCTGATGCTGCGGCCGAGGCAGGCTGAGGCTGAGGCAGGCTGAGGCTGAGGCCGAGGCTGAAGGCAGACTGAGGCTGAGGCTGAAGCAGGCTGAGGCTGAGGCTGAGGCAGGCTGAGGCTGAGGCTGAGGCAGGCTGATGCTGAGGCAGGCTGAGGCTGAGGCTGAGGCTGATGCAGGCTGAGGCTGAGGCAGGCTGAGGCTGAGGCCGAGGCTGAAGGCAGACTGAGGCTGAGGCTGAAGCAGGCTGAGGCTGAGGCTGAGGCAGGCTGAGGCTGAGGCAGGCTGAGGCTGAGGCTGAGGCAGGCTGAGGCTGAGGCTGTGACTGCGACTGCCGTTGCCACTGCGACTGTCATCGCGAATGCGACTACGACTGCGAGAACAGCAGAATTCTACAACTGGATTCTCATCTGAATCTGAAGGGGAATGCTTCCAGATATGCTCCTACACATCGCTGTTAGGTTGCTTTGCCGGGATAATTTTGTGGAGGGGGGGGGGCAATGGCCTCAGCGCAGGCCGCGGGCCGTCAACCTTGCACATGGTGCCTTGTGCCTGTTGTGCCGGAAGCCCCCAGGCGCGCTCCCACGTCGGCCTGGCAGTTGCGGTGGCCACGGCGAGCTCCTGCCCGCAGCAGCGCCTGCTGGTTGTCTCGAGTCTCCTCCTCCTCCTCCTCCTCGCGGAGAGGCCGCTTGTGCCCGATGCCGCGCTGCCTTCCTGCTCCTCTCTTCCCGAGCGTTCGTTTGGAGGAGGCCCCGCCGCCATGTCTGGGCGCGTCTTTCTTGATGGGGGTTGGGTGGATCAGACGCACCCTCATCGCGAGCCGAGCAGTGGCCTGGGCCGCAGTCGCGCTCCAGGCAGAGTATCCGCACAACGTGCTTTTTCTGTCGCGCGCGGCACACTGTCGCATCTGAGCCGCGGCGCTGCTGCCTTTGAGTTGTTTGCGTTTCTTCGTGCCTTGCTGCGCTCTCCGGGTGCGGTCTTCTATGCCGGGCTGGACCTAAACGGTGTTTTGGCGATTTCGTGGGCCGTTACCGTTTCGACGTCGTTTTGCGGTAATTAGAGGTGGGTTGAAGATAAAACGAGGGAAAACGAAAACAACACGTAAACGAAAAACACCGTTTAGGTTCAGCCCTGGTTTCATGCGGACTCAAGTTTTTGTGCGTGATGGCGTCCGTCGTCATGGCAGGATCCTGTCCAAGTTTGGAATCGCACCGAGGAGCAGGGCGGCTTTGAGCATGTTTCAAAGGGACCACAAGACACACACACACACATTAATACACACATAAAAAGGATTCCCCACATGTTCCCCATATTTTCGGAGTTTCTTGTCTTCCCGCCCAATTCCCATCTTTTCCCATATTTTCGTAGGGATCGACGATTCATTGTGTCTGTGTGTTTTTTCCCCTCCTGAATGTTGGCCTTCGCAAGGACACGAGGAAATGTAGGCGGCGGCGGCACGAGCTGCTTCGATGACGCATGTGGTCCCGCGCCGCGCGGATACTGCTCATGATGCTGCTACGCTGCCGAAGGGAGACGCGCAAACCATCAGAGCCGCTCGTGATGGGGCGCAACCGAGACACCCAGATCGGCCAGGACAGCCTCACCTCGGGCTTGGCCTTCCGAGCTTGGCTTCCTTCCCAAGACGAGAGGAGAGGCCAAGCTGGATGCGAGTTTCAGCCGCCTGGGGCCATGGCGTGCTGTCAAATCTTGAGCGCGAGCCGGCCCGTAACTCCTCCTCCTCCTCTTCCTCCTCCTCCTCCTCCTCCTCCTCCCCCTCCTCCCCTTCCTCCTCCTCCTCCTCCTCCTCCTCCTCCTCCTCCTCCTCCTCCTCCTCCTCCTCCTCCTCCTCCTCCTCCTCGCGGGTCCGCGAGCCGGACCCGCGGCGCAAGCTGCGTTTTTCGAGCCGCGCGGAGGCGCCAATCGCCCGACCTCGTCGGCGATGGCGTGAATGGCATATGGTACGAATCTGGACTGCTCGTCCAGGTCTTGTCGAGGAGGGGGAGGAGGGCAAGGAGGAGGAGGAGGAGCGAGGAGCGAGGAGGAGGAGGAGGAGGAGCGAGGAGCGAGGAGGACGCAGCCCGCGGAGTTGGCAAGTCGGCTGCCCCGACCCCGATGCTCGCCGGCCACCCCGGACATCGGTGCTCGCGGACGGCGGGGAGATCTTGGACGCCGTGGGCATGGTGTACGAGGATCGTGCCCGCCCGCGCCCCCTTGCAGCCCCGCCCGCCCCGGCCTTCCCCCCTTGTTCCTCGACATCTGCCGCTCCTTTCTCCTTGGCCTCCCACCCCCCACCTTGACCCAGTCGTCGTCGTCGTCGTCGTCGTCGTCGTCGTCGTCGTCGTCGTCGTCGACGGTGCATACTGTGCGGTGCCGTGCTTGGAGAGCGCATGCTGTCGGAACGCGGTGTTCCCGAAGTCCGACTGGGAGGAGCTCGAGATCCACTTCCGGGGAGAGTCGCGTGGCGCATGCTGCGCGGGGCCGTGGACGCGCGGAGCGCAGTCGCCGCGTGAAGACGGCAGGGATTTTCGCACTTCGACTGGAAGGAGGCGGGAAAGTGACGGTGGCTCGTCGAGCTCGGCGGGCTGCTCGGGAAGGCCTTCACGGTTTGAGGAGCTGCGGGCTAGGCGGCGTCCGCGGCCGTAGCGCCGAGCGTTCGGGTCCCGACCCGTTCGATTTAGTCAGCACCGTCAGCACCGTCGTCGTCGTCGTCGTCGTCGTCGTCGTTGTCGTTTTAGTCGTCGTCGTCGTCGTCGTCGTCGTCGTCAGCCGCCCTTTCTTCTTGGCCTCCCCACCCATGGTTCGTTCCGACTCTTCCGGCTCGAGTCGATTCGATTTCCATCGTTTCCGATTCGACTCGATTTGGGATTCTGACTTGGTTGTCGGTTCGCTAGCTTGCCGATTTCTGCCGACTCGACTAATCCCGACTCGGTTTCCGATTTCTTTCACCCGATGTGTTTTGATCGCCGATCCGACATCGATTCGATTCTGAGTTCTCTTGCCCCACCCTCGCCCCAGTTGTCGTCGATGTCATCGCCGTTGTCGTCGTCGCCGTTAGTCTCGTCGTTTCGTTTGCTCTCCTGCCGACCTCGTGTCACGGAGCTTTCCCTCAGTGGAAGTGAGTATTTGTATGTGGCCTTTCTATGAATACGGAGTTTGGAGGGAGGGTGTATCCCAATGTTGATGACAGCGGCTGCTGCCTGGTGCTCCGACAACGCTTCGCACAATGTATTAAGGTTTGCATCTTCACTTCTGCGAGATGGCTGCGGTAAGTGAGAGTTCGCGGCGAGGAGTTGTTTTCTTCTGCCTTGCGGCGCAATAGCCGCCGTCCCATGATGTGAGTCTGCCAGTTTCGTCCTCTGGCTTGATACCGACTCCAGGGATGCTGGCGCTGCAGGCGCGGATTCAGGCTGGCGAGGCCGCGGCGGCGGCAAGGCCTTCCGCTGCTCCCTCGAGCTGATGTGTTTGCCCGACCTGGCCCCCAGGACCTGGGGGGGGGTCAGGCGGTCAGCCATGGGGGATCCTCCCAGCTATGGGAAATCGCCCCGTGGCTCCCGGCAAATCGCCCCGTGGCTCCCGCGCCCGTCCTTCCATCCCTTCCTCTGGGCCTCTGGGCCCAGCGCCGTGTGTGCCGACCCACGGGTGCTGCTCGGTGGACCTGCCTGCGGGTGCGCAGTGCTCCCATGCAGGGGTCGGCAGCCACGTGGA